TGGCTCTCTTTGATACCGATTGCTGCAGTTGACAACACCGCAGGATAGCGGCGTTGTGATGGATTTGCTTAATAGGCGAATAAAATGAGCAGAGGTGCGTTGCTCAATGTACTTGTACAATGCCTGAACTGGTTTCTGGAACCCTAATGGCCGTCGGCGTTGCATTGTGGGTATTATGGAAAATCGCGGAACCCTCTATAGCTTGTTCTCCACTGAGACACATGATGTAGTAGAATAACATGTATTTCCAGGCACTGCTTGTGTATACATCCGGTCTCTATGCAAACATGGGAAACTACAAGGGATTTGGAGACACAAAGTTTGTCCCCGGAACACCTCAGGTAAGGTGTCTTTCTGATAAAATCAAACCTGCACTTTACACTTGGCCAGAATATTTCTTGTCTGTATCATTGCAGTGAGCCATTGTGTTACTCATTACTTGTCCTTCTCTTTCTGTCATTTACAAATACAGGATAAGTTGAAGACATTGATCTGGAAAAGTGCCGCTTACATCTCATGCCCTGAGATGATAGAAAATCTGTGGAGTTGGTGTGGTAAACGCATGTACTCTCTAGCTGAGAAGGAGTTGCAGCTCGGACTCGGGGATGAGGTTTGTAGACAGTGTTCTCTTAGTTCATAATAGTTTAGTAGTCACGGCTTATATGCTAATATTATAGCATATGCAGGGTTCTGCCAAGGAATCTTAGAAGGCATGTTGTTTATTGACAAGGGGAGAAGGCCCCGGGAGGGGGGGGTTTTACTTATTGAAGTCAATAGAGTTTAACGTGTCATAAGTAGCCCCAATACACACGTAAATCCGATGAGTTAGGAGTCGTAAACATCAAGCTGTGAGAAGGCATGACTGTGTTGGGATTGCCAAAAGTAAACACAGATGGAAATTAACGAATGTCGATTAGGCAATCAACGTATGTCGGAGGATTTGTTGGATGTCACAAATTAGGTTCAGCTTTAAAGGCATGTCGGAGCCGACACTGGCCTGGGGAGAGCTCCGATATGCCACATATATCTCAATAGTGGTATCTATAGTTGCATATGCACCCATATATATATAAAAATAAAAATAAAAATAACCCATAAAAATACGTTAAAATCATTGTCAACATATTTATCCAACTATGATTTTTGGTTAAATGTAGCGTATCTAAGTCGTTTGTATAGAAAATGGATTCCCATATATGGGTGCACTTTGTATAGAAAATGGATTCTCATATATGAGAATCCATTTTCTATATAATGTGCACCCATATATGGGAATCCATTTTCTATACAATGTGCACCCATATATGGGAATCCATTTTCTATACAAATGACTTAGATACGCTACATTTAACCAAAAATCATAGTTGGATAAATATGTTGACAATGATTTTAACGTATTTTTAAAAGGGTAAAAAATATGTTTAATAACAAAGTTTTATATATATTAGGGTACAACAACCTACTTCTCTGCAAACTGCACAATGGAGGATGCCAAGCTTGTGCAGAAATTCCTGGATGCAAAGGTATAATTCCTCCTTTATTGGAAATTATTCAGTAGCTAGATATTTAATCTCATTGCTAATTAATGGATATAGTCATATTAGATTAAATATAGTCAGAATAAAAACAAAAGCATTATTTTAGAAGTGATAATGAATCAAATTGTATGTTTTGACTGTTATATAAATCGTGTTTTGTGTATTATACAGTCAGTATGTCTGGATTGGATTCTGATGGATTCTGTCTGTGTTAGCAACAACACTTCTAATAAGAGCACTATGATCTCTGCAATTTACGTCCTATATCATACATTCCAGTGAATTGATCTCTCATTGTGGTGTTAGGTAACTGCATGCAAAATATCATTTTTACCTATCTTTTTGTTTTTTGTTTTTATCCTTACATGTTTTACAAAAAAAAATTGAAAGAAAAATAAATGTTGAGTCATATTATATTGAGTATCATTTTTTTGCAGGCCATCAGTCCATACAACAGCCGTGTATTCAAAACGATCAACGATGGGAAACCGCATTATGATGTCAGGCTGGCATCTGTAAACACTCCCGGTAAACATACCATGTTTGACTGACCAGATGCCGTAAATGATTTGAGCTAGTGTTTCTGTAGGTGGCTGGTTGGTTTGTTATGTCATAGCCATTCCTTGTTTTAGATCTTGTCGAGCAGAGCGAGACAGCAGACAGAGTGAACCATCTTGGGGCGAGTGAATTTGAAGGAACTTCGTTCTCTGTTTCATGTGGCGATTATTCTGCTCTTATGGCGTATGTCGCTACCAACCTTAAGAAGGCCAAGGTTGGTAACAATTTAGATACAGGTTCATCTATAGTGATTAAGTGACTCAATCGTTAACATTTCTGCAGTGGTTTTTTTCATCATTGTGTGTTATGCCCCCGTCACACTAGAGCTACGCTCATCACGAACGCCCCACGCTCAACAAATTTGGCCGAGTGTGGTGAGAGCGTGGCCAATTGGGCCCCAGCGCCGATACTACGATCTAAGTGCGTCTTTACCCCGATCTCATTGCACCCAACAAGCTTTCACCACGCTCCATACCACGCTCAACACCACGCCCGCATCACGCTTGCACTGCGCTCACTGCGTCTTTATTGCGACTAATCCGATCGCATTGCGTTATAACGACGCTTTCACTGCACCTAGGCAACGCTCACCACGCCTCAACTGCGCGCCAGTCACGCTCCTAGTGTGACTTAATCACGCTCTAGTCAGGCGCCGACTGCGCTGGCAATGATCATAGCATAGTGATCATAGTGACCATAGAGAAGTCGTCTTTCTACTGAAAGCCACGAACTCACCCAGCAAGATCTTTGTTTTCTTCTATTTCTCCACCTCATCCTCCTCAGCAAGCAAGAGGGCTTGGCAATCAAGTAATTCGAGTTGTCCTTCTATGAGAAACATGGCATGGAGTAGTGTTGCCTCATCCATAGTGGACACTGAACTGGTGGGGTGGCCAGGGTAGCACCCCAATTTATATCCCAAGTTTGCAGGACGTGATCTGAGCGTGGTATTGACGCAACTAACACGTAATGCGAACGCCACAACGGCGTGGTCTGGGCATGTTGGGCGTAGTACAATCGTAGTACGAACTGGTCGAGCTTGCTAGAGCCGCACCATGGTCATAGCGAGAGCGTGGTCAGGTCGCAGAGACATCTCCATGGACGTAGTAACAGCGTGATGAAAACGTATTGACATCGTGCTGAGAACGGGGAGACAATTTTCACGCACCCGACACGCTTGCGATATGATCATTAAGTTCGTACTACGCTCGAGTTACGTGGGTACTACGGCTTCCACGTCTCTAATACGTCCGCACTGCGCTGTCTTTCCGCCACGCTCGCACCACGATTGTTTTGAACATGCTCAAAATTTGGCCACGCTCTCCACGTTCATGGTGACTGCACCGCGCTCGGTCGCGATCGCAGTACGTCCTTAGACGTTCATACTGCGTTCTACGCGTTTCCACCACGCTCTTAGAGCGTAGTACGAGCGTAGTGAGATCGCGGCCTGGTGTGACGGGGGTTTTAGATAGCACCCACACAACAAAAATCCTATTGAGCAAATCAGGGAAACTTGCTTGAGTTGTTCACTTTATGTGTGCATGGTAGGATCACGCAGCCAACGAGACAGAGGAGGCAATGCTGCAGAGCTACATAGATAGTTTCACTACGAGCTCGCTGCAGGCACACAAGGATGGCTCCCGACTTTGGATTAAAGATAAAGGACCCATCGTGGAAACGTAAGTCTCATCTTGATTTTATTCCTACTGTATCAAAGTAGCTTTCACTGAATCATTTGACATATGGTATATAGGGTCACTAAATAGAAACCCCAAACATACAGATTCTGTTCTATAAACGTGTTTTAAATATATATAACTGCCACTCAAGGGAAGCATAAAAAGTGTTCTTTATGAGCAGGTGTCCGTTCTATAGAGGTGACCAATAGCTAGATTTTGACTGTATTGTTTCCTGTCTGGTTGCAGGTATATCGGATTCATTGAGACTTACAGAGATCCCATCGGAGTGCGAGGAGAATTTGAAGGTGCATGTGCATTTTAACTTGAAAAACAAGAAACACTGAAAATTTGCATTGTGTGATTGCACTGTCACTACCAAAGACACACACAGTGATTGTTTCACCTTTTGTTGTCTAAAGAGTGATTATTGCATGGTTGTTTAATTACTGCCCACAACATCCTAGTACTGATTCGCATTTGACAAAATCCTTGTGTGCCTGGATGCAGGTTTTGTTGCCATCGTCAACAAGGAGATGAGTCAGAAGTTTGCTAGTCTGGTAGAAAATGCAGAAACATTCCTTCCCATGCTGCCATGGGGCAATGACTATGAGAAGGACAGGTTTCTACGGCCAGACTTCACGTCATTGGATGTGGTGACGTTCAGTGGCAGTGGCATTCCTGCTGGCATCAACATCCCTAACTGTGAGTGTCACTGCCTGTTGTTATTATTATTATTGTTGGTGGTGGAGGTAGTGGCGGGGGCAGTGGCAGCGGCGGTAGTGGTGGCAGTGGTGGTGGCAGTTGTGACAATGTTGTTGGTTATGGTGGCAGTGGGGCAGCCGCAGAGGTGGTTGTGGTGGTGTTGGTGGTCGTGGTCGTGGAGGCGGTGGCGGTGGTTGTGAGAATGGTGGCAGTGGTGGCAACAACGACAGTGGAATCAGTGGTTTAAATTGTTGTCATTGCTGTTTTTGTTACTGCTATCGTCATTGTAGTCGTCGCCTTTATCGTCATTGTTTTCAATAATAGCACAAAACTTCTTAGTTAGTTAATGAAATTAAATAGTACATTTGAGTGCTAATGACTTCCGCTTGATTTATGTGTATTTATATTTATAATTGCCACCAACGGAGGAAATACTGAAATACTGATTATTGCTGCTAAATTAATTCGTCTTGTTTTTATTAATAGATATTATGCATTGTGTACATTCATATTTAATCAAGCATGCATTCAATTGCTGACAGCAATGATAACATATTTGCTGAGCCAGCGTGTACTTATGCATTTTCTACCTGCTTGGTTGTAGATGATGAAATTCGGCAGAATGAGGGGTTTAAAAACGTGTCGCTAGGCAACGTTCTCAGTGCTGGATACAAAGAAGAGAAAGTCACGTTCCTTTCAGCAGGAGATGTGGTACGTATTGACACCAGTGTAATCCATGTGTGCAAATTGCTGACCGTATCTTCCATTAGCTGGTTTTAACTACCACTTCCTAACGTTCCATTGCATAGTATGGCGAAGGAAAGAAGGCACGTGATACTGTAAGGCATCTGGTGCTGATATATGTACATAGTGGAGCATATGGTCATATGGCATGGATGGTGGTGACTCCAGACATCATTTCTTCGTTAAATGTTTGTATCTGTATGCAGGAGTTGTACAAGCTGTTGAAGGCGCCTTCATTCGAAGTTCAGGTGGGCCTGCATGAGCTGTTGGGTCACGGCAGTGGCAAGCTGTTCTCTGAGAAGACAGATGGCATTCGCAATTTTGACTCAGAGAAGATTAAGGACCTGGAAACTGGGGAAAAGGTATCATCTTTGCAAGTTAGACAACGTGATTGAAAAATACATGCACAGGCTCATTTTTAGCTTACCTTGACATCGTCAAGCTGAGCTATTGCCATGGGTCGTCGTCTGTCCGTCCGTCCGTCCGTCAACATTTGGCTTCGGTCAACGATAACTCAGGAGCCGTTTGACCCACATGTTTGAAATTGGGTGTAGTTGTTACTGCTATGCTCCCATATTAAACGTCCTATTTTGGAGCACGCCAGTCGGCGTGCTTTCGAGCCACGGCGATTTTTTCGCAAAAATGGGAATTGCCATTAGTCAGTTCAGGTTCAACGGATTTTGCTCATTTTTGGTATGTGAATGAATAAGGGCTAGGGGTTTTGATATTTAAAAAAAAAAATTATGCAAATTAGGTAGGGTTTGGCAATTATATAGCATATTATATAGACACAAACAGTCTGTGGTGTCACACTCGTCTGGTTCGTTTTACAAGATTTTATTGACAATATCTTTAAAGGAACAGTAGCCTCTAGGTTCTAGGGTTATTTTCAGCTAATTTAGGTTATAATTGCGCTACATAAAAAGTTTCATGGTTCAATCACCATTAGAAATATTTTTAAAAAATGTTTTAAAACTAACGACTACAGTTTGATTACAACGACGGTGGCGCCACTCAAAGCGCACGATCTGAGAAGTTGCGCAAAACCACTTTCCAGCCAAGGGCTACAGACCGAGGGTATTTCTTATTTATTCATTTAAAAGCAAAAGGATTGTAATATCTTATAAACGACATATAGTTTCAGTTATAATATGGATAAATTTGCCCTAAAATGAATATTGTTTGGTTAAATAGCATTTAGGTATAAATATAATTGCACTTTTGTGATTAGCCCTCGGTCATTTACCTGCAAAATAAAAATGCAAATACGCAACTTTTTCAGGGTGGCAGCACGGTCGCGGGTGTCATGGCGCCGTTCAAATTTCGTAGCGTTGATGTGTAAATAATTAATTAAGTATCTGGTGACAAATACATGTGGGTATAGACGATTTGTTATACAGTAAGTACAGTTGTATGCAGTAAAATCCTAGAGGCTACTGTCCCTTTAATGCAAAATTGGTATTTCCTGTCCACCCTGCCGATAAAACGTCTATATTAGAGTAAAGTTTTACAAAACATGTCGGAACGCAGCATAACCTATTTATTTCAAACGCCATCACTACAATTAAAGCGGATATAGCGCCATCTACGGTCACAAATTGTGATTCATTTTGGTTTATAAATTATTATTGCGATATACAGATGGCAATCGTTTCTATAATGTACGTCGATGGTTGCTCAATTAAAACTGACTTCTTCTTACTCACTCATTTGTGTCCTTTTTTGTGGTGAGCTACAGTGTCATTGACACTCATTCATTCATCTTGACCAGTTAATGTCACCTCTGAGTATAATCTCTATGGTTTGATTGATTTCACGTCATAGATCAGTAGCTGGTATGCACCAGGGGAAACCTACGACTCAAAATTTCAAGTGATCAGCTCTACATATGAGGAGTGCAGGGCAGAATGCGTTGGACTGTATCTCTGTTTAGAACCCTGCATCCTAAAGTAAGTGCTACAAATGCCCGTAGAATATCTACACATTTTTTCTCAGCATGTATAATACCTTCCTAGCATATATTATGTTAGGAAAATACAACATTAAGTGCCCATCGACTATATGGTATGAACCGTGATTGATCTAATTTGTAACACACGTGTGCATATCATGTGCTCTTCTGATTTTAATGTCAACCTAATTAATTGCTAAGACTGTGATTGATTACACAGTTGTCCAGTGTCACACAGATTTGAAGAAGGCAGCAATTAACTTATTTGTGCTAGCTCTGATTGAATTGTTTTGGCTGGTGTAGAATATTTGCACACGAAGGTGATAAGGCACAGGACATCATCTATGTGAACTGGTTAAACATGGTGAGAGCGGGAGTGCTGGGACTCGAGTTCTACACTCCTAAGACGAAAAAGTGGCGGCAGGTATGAATGCCCCTGATGGGTAGATCCAGAAAATTCTGGAAGGGAGTACTGTACTGGTCATGTGGCTGGGGTTCCACTCACCAATTTTTTAAAGAATTTGTTTGCAATCTGGTGGATATTAACAGGAGTCTATCAATATTGATAGACTCATGATATAATGGTGACTATATATTGTCTATATGTCTATATTGTATATAATGTCTATATTGATAGACTCATGATATTAATTATAGCTTTTCTATTTTAAAGTAATCTCTATGCATATAAATTAACTATTAATTCTAATAATTGTACAACATACTGTAAAAATTAAGTCTACCATTACAAAACTGGCCGGACCTCCACCTATGCCACAGCAATGATTATAGGGAGGGTGTTGTTATATTCTATTATTATATTGACTATTCTTCGTGATATCGTGAATATGCTAATGATCAAAGTGTCAATCATGACAGATCAATGATCATGCACACTGCTTCCCGTGATCAGGCTCACATGCAGGCGAGATATGTCATCCTGCGTGTCCTTCTTGAAGCTGGCGAGGGATTAGTGTCTGTAACGAAGACCAATGGAGAGGATGGGCAACCAGACCTGCTGGTATCACTCGACAGAAGTAAGATAAACAGCGTCGGCAAGGCTGCCATTGCCAAGTTTCTGCAAAGGCTTCAGGTACATGACAGGTTCAGTCCATAGATCAATTTATTTCATCACTAATCGAGATCTTATTTAAAAAGAAGTACAAGTTTCTCATCGCAGCTACGCTAGCAACGTTCACAGAATGTTTTACTATATTATTGCATCTACGTTGTGATATCTGCTAACACTATGTGTAAGGTAACAGGTAAATGCCAGTGACTTAGTCTAGCAGCAATTTTGTGAGTATTCAGTCTACAAAAATACTAGCCATGTATCAGCAGTCATCATTGTAGAGGCTTCTTTTCAGTCCCCGCTCATTCACTCGGCTCTCTCCTCATAACATGATGACAATGTCATGTTGCCTATTCTATAAGTTAATATGAGAGGTGGTATACCATAATCCTTTCAATCGATGTTTCACCTTACAGACGTACAAATCAACGGGTGATCTGGTGCGCGCAGAGGCAATGTATGTGGCATATGCAACGGTCAGCGATGAGGGGGACACGCCCTTCCTCTGTTACAGGAGCATCGTGATGAATCGGAAGCAGCCACGCAAGCTGTTTGTGCAGCACAACACCTCGGTGACGAGTAAGTGATTCATGCTGACACACACAATAGAAGGTGGATAGACCACAGTTTTTTGGGAAAGCCACAATGATTGAGCATGTATGGTTATAGTTATGATGCACAGGATGCAGGGGATGAATATATATATATATATATATATATATATATATATATATATATTTACAAGCACTAACGCACACATATCCATTTAGTTCCGGCCCATATGGTGTGATAGAGTTACTGTATTACCATATATACCATGACTATGTAACCAAGCACCCATTGAGTAATTGTTCATCTATTTTTCTCTTCTTTTGCCATTTTTCCTAGGTGATGAAAGTTCAGTAAACATATCAACGTATGAGTCAAGCCCTGAAGGCCTCATCCAGTCATTCATCGAAAGATTCACATCTACTGATGTTGATGATGCCATAATTGATCTTTGGAAGAAAGACCAACCCAATTTTCCAACTGAATGAGAGAAGTGTGTAGAATAATATAAAAGATAACACAAAATGCTGAAACAATAGAATAGAAGAATTTGATCAATATAAACATGACATCCTTAATAGTTTTCATCTCACAAATTTCCTGAAAATCCAATGGATACGGAATTTCATGTTTTCACATGGTGATTTGCATATGGTAATATCGTTATGCATGATGAACACTCAAGTTAAGTATAAATTATCCTGCATTTCTTTTCATATTTACTTGTGATGTGGTCAACTGAGTGCACACCTGCTAACTCCTTTTTGAGTAAAAGCAGTAAATACATGGCAATAACTTGTGTGACACAGTTGCATGTTCGTGCAACAGATTTGCATGTCAGCTAGGGTGATATCTGGTGTGTAGCCCAATGAAATTTTGTTTAGTAATGAGGCAATAAAGGGCCATCCCCTCGTCTCGTGTGACGTCCCTACTAGAAGCGTCCATGTCATAAGCGATTGTTACTACTTGTACAATGTGGAAACTGTATAAAGCAATCGAAATAAAAAAATTGGTAGGAGGTAGATAACTTCTAAAATCTGTGGGTTTGCATGGCAGGTATGTGTTATCATTGTTTGATAATGATCTAGAATTAAATAAATAGAAAAATCTTCCAATATTTCTGTTTTTAATGTATATATATACTAGATCGAACTTACAATCCATTTCAAGATTATTGTCTTTCATTTGTGATATATCGTGATAATTGTATCGTTGCTGATTCACAGATCTTGAACTCGTATATATAATTAAAAATATGAATGCCGAGTAATATGTAGATTAAAGAGCAACTATTGAAACAAACGTTGAATAAATGAGAAATGTCATAGTGATAATGAATATTCATCACATCTATACAATTACAAAAAATAATTGCAGTACCATTAATACCATAAACCTATAATAGATGGCGCTTGCAGCCTCTTCACCTATTAATTCTTTGTGGAACGGCAGAGTTTTTGCTTCGTCTCAGTTATTAGTTTAAATATTGTCATTTAAGTAGGTAATGATTCGATTATATATTCATAAGTATATTTAGATCAAAGACGTATATTTTAAGGATCGCATGGTTATTGTGAGTATGATTAAAGGTAACACTTGTAACTCACTAACTGTTCGTACGGTATAGGCCGAGACTGTATGGGCCGAATCTGTTATGGGCCGGTTGGACCCCGAGTCGTTCGAGACTAGTCCAACGTGACACTGTCACTGTCACTGACGCTCATACTTAGGCATAGCCATAGCATAGGCTGAGAGAGCACAGGCACTTGGGACAGTTTCAGTAAAAACTGAAAATAATATGAACACACATTCACAAATAGGCCCTACTACCGTACCTCTCAATTACAGTTCCACTGTTGCGTCACTGTATATCAACTTTCCTTCAAAAAAACCTATGTAAAAACTAACGCCGAACGCTCCTGCAATCGCCGCTGCGAGTGTGCTGTGACGCTATGATATAGAGTCTATATCTATATATGCTCTATATATATTATCATAGCGTCACAGCACACTCGCAGCGGCGAGTGCGGGAGCGTTCGGCGTTAGTTTTTACATAGGTTTTTATGAAGGAACGTTGATATACAGTGACGCAACAGTGGAACTGTAATTGAGTGGTACGGTATAGCTCTAGTACTATAGCCCGCGGATCGCTGCCGCAGGGCTATAGCACATTCTGCCATAGCTGTAATCTAAGCAAATGGTCCAACTGATGTGACCAAAAATTATCCACAAAACGTAAAATGATCGGGCTTTTTAACACTTATCTATCAACATGGACATCTCACCTATCTTTTTGAACACTTCCACAACTTTACACCAGGTATTTATGCTGTTATTCCTCAAAGTCAGCACTTATTGAAATTACATTTCAAATCATGTGGCGTGCGCACGCGTAATGTCACCGGATATGTTGGCAAAACGCAAGGCAGCTATTGTGCCACTCCTATTCATTAAACGGGGGTGTTCGCATGCTTGTGGCTCCCGGATTCGTGGGGCGCACATGTGGCGCATCAGGTGCGAGTTTACCCACCCACCCCCGTTAATAAATACATCGCCACCCTTTTTACACGCACCATAGCGTGCCTTGTCAATCCAGTTGAACTATTCTTATTATTTATTCTTGGCTAGGCAGAATGTGCTATACCCGCGGTAGCGATCCGCGGTTAATAGATAGAGCTAGGTAGGTAGTCTGTAGCGCTTATTTGGTGCAACTGTGTGTTTACTATTTTTCAGTTTTTAGCTGCCTGGTCCCAAGTGCCTGTGGCTGAGGGGTCTGATGTCCCCAGGTCTGCGGAAGTACCCTGGGTAGCGGTCCGGTATACCGGAACGTACCTGGTACTATTCTAATATCAGGATCGAGTGACCCTCCGCCTACGTCTACACTATCGAGTCGTAGTGGAGTCGCTTACGCTACTACCTAACCGACTAACCTAAACCGACCAGAGACTCTTCGACTCGTTACACATTCGAGATGCCTAATCCACCCTTTGCCCATTCGACAATCCGTGGTTGCTTGAAATACAAACTACCGAATTTGCTAAAAAATTTGTATGTAAATTAAAACAATGCTATTACCACATTTGACCTCAGCCTGTCTACATGCTTTTGGGCAACTATCGCAACTCACTTCTTAATATCTATTTACCCGCTCGAAATCACACGTTAAAATAGAGAGAATTTTGGACAGCTATACTATTGGTAACCGTTCTGGAGTGATTTCTTATGCCTCATTCTTGTAAGCGCGAAAATTACGATAACATTATGTTATGCGCGATACTTCTATTGAAAAATGCGGCGGTTTTGTTCGAGGAGTTTCATCTTATAAGATTCTAATAATTACTCGCTGAACACGTTAATACGATGCTCAGTGGATCAGCCAACATATAATAATCTGAGGCGTGGGAAGTCAGCAGAGAAGCAATAAGAATCATAAAAAGTTAGATAGATTCTACAGTTAATAAGCAGCGCGAACGTCATGGGTGCCGAACAATATTCTATTGCGTACGCTTGTGATCGGCTTCCGCCATCCGTAGTATTAAGGCGAGAAGCGGACTTTTGATTGGGACAAAAGATTGATTTACGCAGTGCAACTTTGTAACCGCCATTCTTTCGTTGCGCATCGCTAAGCAGACGAATGTATTTTCCAAGTGGAGGGGGCTGGGCAATTTGGCTCGAAGTTTGGAACACGCGCTAGCGCTGCGCAACCAAAAATGGCGTTCTAAATCCGCAGTTGGGCAACTGCCCACACGGCCTCCCACTTGGAAATATATTGTTCCCGCTCACTTATCGCGCCGGACCCGTGGCCAGCGATGCGAGAACAGAAATAATGTGGCGGTTTAGTAAGTTGGTAAAGCATCTCGTCGACAAGAATATATGGCAAGTATAACATAAGCGTTAGTTTGGGCAGTTGTAATTTTAGTGTTTTTGTAGTCAACCTTAAGACATTTGTTGGCGGCAGAGAACTGGTGCGTTATTGGTGCGCATACCGAAGAAGTATTAACTGCAAAAAAGTTGTTTTGCTGTACTCCTGCCTGGAAATGTGCCGTATGCTAGCTACTGTTCTATAGCCCTGCGGCGGAGCGGAGGGCTATATTCCTGGAGCTATACCCTAACCTAAACCAGCGTGAGAAACTAGCGCGGGTCGCGCCAGTCGCCAGTGGCGATAAGAAAATCGATCCTGGGCCGACTGCTGCTCGTGTCAGCTGTACACTCGGCGACGGCGCGGGCGACCTGACAATAATCGCTCGCACAGAAATAAAAATTTTACCAATAACCTGAGGCCATTAGATTAAAAATTTGTTTTGTTCCCTCACCAGCGGGACGTGCCGGCAAAGGGGGGCGAGGAGCAGGAACATTGTATTGACCGTTTCCTGATTTTTTTTCTTCAGTTTCTGTATGTGGCAGGCCTGCAGGCAATGTACGCGGGCTATAGGTAGTCCGTACTAGAGCTTTATGCACAGCCTGCGTAGGGTGCCTGTTGGACCTGGGCGGCGCAGCTGGGGGATTGAAGTAGGGGGGAGGGGCGAACGTGCAATTACTTGATTGTTTCACTTTGCGAGCCTGCGTTGCCAGGATGTGCAAATTGTTTCAATTATTACAGTTATGTAGGGGGTGGCCGGCGCACCTGCTGTATTAACCTGTATAATACGCAGTCGTCATGTTACGCTTGACTGGCGTTCGCGTACAAACTGACGGCCCTGTAAGCGAAGGCAAGCCTAAAAACAGTTCGGCCCTGTCCTGGAACTCGTCTATCCGAATTAAACGCAGAACGAGCTAAGCAGGCCGTAACCTGTACCCGCTCGCCGACCGTAGTTCACACTAGGCCTTAATGTAGGCGGTGTGAGAGACTGTCGGAGCCGCGTACTGATTCTACAAGCGAGGCGCGCAATGCCGCGTCCAGGCACATATTGTATGGTGGTAATCTGGTTATAAGTGTGCTTATCAGAAGCCATGGCATGTTTGTTAGCAGTCTAGTAAATTATGATCTTTCATATACTGATATATTACAAACGTAATATAACTATTATAAACCTATTATAAATATAGTTATGTCTTGCAGTTGAACATCGTTGACCGGGAATGACGTCAAGCAAAAGACTGCTTCGCTGATGTGGGCCGTTCTGGCTCAGTCAGCAGCCACCCACTTTCCTATAGTAAGAGGTTAACGCTCTAGCGAGTAGGCCCTAGCGGCCGTTACGAGCAGGAGCGGTAATCATTAACGTTACGCTGGTATGAGAGCGCGACAGCAAAACTTTCCTGGAATCGCTGGATTCCAAAACTTGGACAGCAAAACTTTGCTGGAATCCTGGAAATCGCTATATTATAATTTAGATATTAAATAACTTAATTATGGATCTAACTCTGACAGATTAACTTTATTTTCCTTTCCAAAGACTAATATGTGCTAAGAAGATATTTATTATTTCTTAATTCAAGTTCCTTTTATTTGTAATGCTTTTATTTCCACATTACGTGTATGTGTGCGTGCGTGCGTGCGTGCGTGTGTGATCTGGAAATAAAATCATGCAAAATTTAGCTCTGATAAACACAAGTTGTTAAAAGTATTATAATATGTATATTGTATCACTGTACAATGTACATTATATAAATGTGTAGGCAAACATAAAAGGTATCTCCACACAAGCACACCTGAGCACGTAGACACCATTGCTGAATTTGTAAAAAGACCCCCCTCAAAAAAAAGCCAACCACACTTTTCAGCCTGGGTCGGGTGAGGGCAAACAAAAAATTGTTTAATTGTGGCCTGATTATTTTGTTATTCTCTACTAACCTTCTACATTATTCTAATGAAATCAATGGTAAATTTAATCAAATATAGACTAAAAATAGTCAAATTCCGAAGCCTAAAGTCCATGCGAAGTACACAAACTCTCCATGTTTGTTGTGTTCGATTTTCTAAGTCATGCTGTTAAACCTCTGCTAATTCGATAATACTGGGCATCCCGACCAATCAGCGATCGCGTGTAATAAAATATGATAATTTATAGGAATAATGGGCGGTCTTCAGAGACCGCTGATCTTTGATGTTTTGATCGTTGATTTTTGATCATTGATTTTTGATCTTTGATTGATTTGATTGATTTTTGAGATTGATCTTTGGACTTGTTCCGATTTACTAAGCATCAGTGTATCGAAACGAGTAAAATATATAATTTTTAAGAATACCTTAGAATGCACATCACCAAATTGCACCATCCCCCCTCCCTATAAAAACGTCCCCACATCCGAGTCATTGCCTTTGCTATGACAGAAATCCTGGACCAGTGCCTACTGACCAGGACCAGTGCTTCCTCAGAGGTACTGGTCCTGCTGGACCAGTGCCTCCAATTATCAGTTTTTCACCCTGCTAACCATATCAGATAGTTACCAGGGTACGTTCTGGTATACCGGACCGTACCCAGGGTACGTTCCGGTAGTACCCTGGGGGACATAGACCCTATGAGCCAATTACCAGTTATATGCGAACATAAGCTGTTACCA